CTTAACTCAAGTGAGGGGAGAACGGTACTCTTTCTTGGATCCTTTAAAAATCCCCACAAAAGGGGAGGAGGATCTGGGGGAGATAATAGATCAACTGAAGGACTTGTATACATGCATATAAGTACAACCAATGGACATAAAGCTCTGGGGAGGGAGGGGATGGGTGGGAGAGAGGGAGGGGGGAAAATAAAATTAAATTAAAATTAAAAAATAAAATAAAATAAAATAAAAATAAAAATAAAAATCCCCACAAAAAGATTAGGAAAACTAATGCTCCCAGCCACTTAGAATAGGTTATTAATACTGATCAGGGGAGGAGGGAGGAGGGGGAGCCTGAATTGTCTGACTATTGAAGCAAAAGAGAAACCATGACCAGTGTGCAGATACAACTAGAGGCCACTCAGTGGTCACCATACCCTCACTTCCCTCACCTTCCTTTCCCACACAGACTGGAAAATCTAAAACTTGCCTCCCCCAAATCACCTCAGCCAGAAAAGACCAGGGGACCCCATTCTGGCCCATGGGACATCCTTGAGAGTCAGCGGGCACAGTGGTGAAACCAGGGACACCACTGAGCCCCTCAAACTTCCAAAGAGCTTTTGTTGTGTTACATGAGGCACAAACACACATTACATGAATGTTCACACATTAAGGAAAGATGGTTGTCCATGGTTGGCATGCAGAAAGCTCTGGTAACAAGACCTTGGGTTCTCAGAAAGTTCGACCAGTCAGAATATAATGTTGCTGCAACACTGGTTCAGATTTCCCTGTACAATGATTCTAAGGGGTGATTTCCTACACAATGTTTCTTGCCTTTTTTCCAATTATGAAAAGACTAGTAGCCCTGCACACGAATCCGTGCACCAGTAGATCTCTGCAGGGCCTGGCCACTCTGCACCCGCTGCCCAGAAGCTCTCTGCAGTCCAGCAGCCCATCCTCGGCAGGGTGTGGAATGCTTGCCTCATTGCCAGGGTGACAAAGCAAGCATTCTGCCAGGCTGCTTGCACTAGCCACTCTCAGTGGCTGCCCCTCCAGGACTGGGGGGACTCTGCCAAGGCTGAGAGGACTGGGTGCTGCCATTTTATGGCTATGGGTGCCGCCATATTTGTGATGGAGTGACAGTTAATTTGCATATTACCCTCTTATTAGATAGGTTATGTGACCTGGCCAGTGTAACTCAATAGTTGAGCACCAACCTGTAAATCAAAAGGTTATGGTTCTATTCTCAGTCAGGGCACATGCCCATGTTGCAAGCTTGATTTCCAATGGGGGACATGCAGGAGGCAGACGATCAATGATTCTTTCTCATCACTGATGCTTCTTTCTTTTTCCCACTCCTTCCCTCTCTGACAGCAATAATAAAAATATATACTTTAAAAAAAATAGAATCAATCACCCTAGCTGGTTTGTCTCAGTGGCTAGAGCTTCAGCCTGCGGACTGAAGGATCCCAGGTTCTATTCCAGTCAAGGGCACATGCCCAGGTTGTGGGCTCAATCCCCAATAGGGGGTGTGCAGGAGACAGCCAATCAATGATTCTCATCATTGATGTTTCTCTCTCTCCCTCTCCCTTCCTCTCTAAAATCAATAAAAATACAGTAAAAAAGAAAAGACTGACAAAAGGGTTAAGAAAGGAGTAGGTAGTTAAAAGGGTAATCTAAGAAGAATAGTTTGTGAAAAGTACCAAAGATATTTAACTAGTAGTTTATTAAGAAAAAAAATCCACATCATACTAACTAGGTTAACACTGCTCATGTTCTAAGAATATAGTAACCCCTCTTATTTCAATTGGTACAGAAGCAACCAATACAGCCTCCTTTTAAGAAGGATCTTGTTTTAATGACTTCAGGCCATTCTGAGAACACTGCTGCACACGGCCTGGCCTTTGCTGTCAGTTAGCTCTCAGAGCCTCTTGCCAAAGGACATGCAGCATGGAGGGAAGCTGAAGGGCTCCGGGGTTAGTTACACAGGACTGGGTTTGAAGCCCTGAAGCAACCCCTAAAACTCTCACAGCCTCAGTTTCCTCATCCATAACATAGGGTAATCAGCTTCCATGTCATAAGGTCATTGGGAACGTTAAATAAAACAAGCTGTGGAAGATTCCTGATACTCAAACCACTGGAGCATTCACTGAGATCCATTTAACATGAAGCAGAATTCTCATGGGTTTCCTAAGGCATTCATCAAACTTTATTCCAAAAAACAATTCAGGAGTCAATAGCTAAATGAAGAGAAGGAGAAAGAGGGTGAGGAGGAGGAGAAGAAGAAGAAGGAGAATGAGGAGGAGGAAAGGAAATGGAGGAGGAGAAGAATGAGAGGAAGGGGAGGGAAAAAGTCAACACCATTTGTGTAACTTCCTTCCCCCTACATGTGTCACTTCACACCCCTCCCTTGAATTGTCAATATTTCTTCGTTACACTGAAAGCTCCTCAGATGTTGAAACTATGCCTCATTTTTGCTCTTCCCAAAAGTAGCAGAGTGCCCAGCACAGAACAAGGACTCAATACGTACTTGCTGTTTTTCTCTTTGTTGGAGAGTTAAAAGTTAAATTTCTGGGCTCTTACTAGTAGATGTTTATTGTGTGGGGCTCTGCTATGTTTTTGATGAAATTTATATCACTGGTACCCAGAAGTGGGATGGAAGGAAGATCTAAGTTTTCAAATAGAAGCAAAGATCAGTGAGAATATGGAGATAGGTATACAGAGTCAAGGTATCACTCTAAAGAGTACTTATTTCAGAGAGAGAAATGAATATTTACAACAGAAAGACCTGTCAATCACCCACTCAATCAAGGGATTAAACTCAGCATCATCAATGAATGGCAGGCAAATAATATAAAGCACAGCATTGGCCATGAAGCAAAAATGTTTTGTCTGAGTCTAATCACAACCCTAGACTGAACTCCCAGCACACAGGACATACAGGGAGTGGAGGAGCCAGGTGAGTGACACTATGAGAAAATACTCAGATCTAAAATGTGGAACATTCCACAAGTCAACTAGCCTTGTCCCTTCAAAAGCGTGTGGGGCTGGAAAAAGAAAAATGTTGAGGCACTCCCTGTTCTAGATTATATAATGCTAATGAGCCAAATGCAATGTAACTTGATTGGCTGCTGGTTTGAGGTCATTTGAATATGGAGATGATATCTATAATAATAATAAAGTCATAATGTGCTAATTAGACCAGACAGCTGAACAACCTTCTGGACGATCTTCCAGACGAAGCCAGACTGCCAAGGCCAAGTCCCTTTTGCATGAATTTTGTGCACTGGGCCTCTAGTATGAGTATATTAGGGAATGATGAGTAACTTTCTTAGGATGTTAAAACTCCTGCAGTTATATAAAAGAAAGACCTTATTTCAACTTTTTGTATGCTTGAAAACTTGTCATAATAAATGTTAGAAAACATGCAGTTAAAGCAACAAGCAAGCTAACCCTACATAGAAATTTCTTTCTCTTGCATTTAATACCAAAAATAAATTAGAAAACTCCTGTGTTAGTGCATTTGGGCCAGTTACCTTAAGTGGTTCAGACACCCTCTATAACAGAGTCTGGGGACAGCAGTGTTACCATGGAAAAAGCACAGCCCTCTTAACTGGGTATCATTTTCATTGTCCTTTGAAACCTGATTATCCCCACACCAAGGATCCTATCAGCACATAGCTGATAAGTAGTTGGCTGTGCCTGGTATTTGCTTATTTACATTTTTTTTTAAATAAAGTAAAATCATTTATCTTCTTTTAGTTGGACTCCAGTAGAGAAACACAGAAAAACTAATATCATAACCAGCACAGCTCCTATTCATCCTTCCCAAGGCTTCAAATCCATCACCTAGGTCCTAAGGAGCCCAGTTCTGAAGGGGCAGCTTGTGCAGGAAGGTGCTGCCAATCACACAGAGTTCTAGGAATGACATTTTCCAGTGGGCCACAATAGATGCTTGGCCTCCTCACAGGAGAACCCTGTCCTCAAGCCTAGCACCCTGTCCCCGGGAGCTGACTCATGCAAGACACCTCACCAAATCCAAGAGCCCCTGCTGTTCAGAAAATAATGATGAATTCTACTCCCAAGTTCAAGTCACTGAGGGGTCTTCAACCAGCAATGAAAATAGCTTTGGATAACGTTGGGAAGTTGCTTCTACATAAAGACAACCTACTCATATGATATTGCTCAAGTTTGTTTAAGTGAGGCAGGCGAAATGTGAGAAATGCAGGTACGGAGGCAATGAGGGATGTTTTTCGTAGTCTGGGTACCTCGTCACCCAAGCTCCTGGGGACGGGAAAGGCAAGCAGCAACTTCACTCCACACACTGGCTATCTCTGTGCCTCCTGGAAGCTTTCTAGAAGGACAGCTATTAGAAGGTAAAGTTGATAAATTAGAACTGAGAGAGAGACTATCTTATAGCTAAAAGTTTGTATTACTTGGGAAAAGAGTGTGAAGTGAGAATCGTAAAACTAGTTCAGAGAACTCTCAACTTTTTGATTCTTTCTCACACTGAAACGCAATGCTTATAATACATATGTAATACATTGTATATAAATATACATAAAGTCTCTAGGAAATTGGGAAAGTGTAGAGGGCCGGCTGAGAAGGCACATGGGCATCCTTTAAATTGTCAGCAGAGCCCCAGGCACTGGCAGAATGCCTTTGTCCCGGTGTCAGCAGGGGCGGGTCTAGATATGTAAATCCAGTAATGCTAGGGCCTAGTTAAGAATGCAAATAATCTCCTTTGACCCTATAAAAAAACCTGCGTGGCGTGGGGGGTCGCCTTGCTGCCTCTCCATCAAAGAGATGGCGCCCACCTAGCGCCCAGCTTGATGAATCTATTTCTGCCTCCATGTCTCTTTCTTCTTTCTCTAATTTCTTAATCCCCAGCTCCTCCACTCAGGAACCTGTCGTTTTCCGTGATGGACACGGGAAACAGAGAAACAGCCCCCGCGCAGGAAAGAGAGGGTTTCCTTTTGATTGTTGACGCCCTCTTCTTTGAGAGGACAGGAGAGTCTTACCTAGGTACAGGGATGCATTCTCCCTCTTGACGTTGTCATCCAAGTAGGTTGGTCCCAGGGTATAAATAGGCGTGGAGCCCATGCCGATGAGGATCTGCGCGCACACGAACAGAGCCACGAAGAGCCAGTGGTTCTTCCCTTCCGAGTCCGTCCGGCAGGCAGGGGGCCCCGAGGTCCCCAAGGCGTTGCCGCCGCTCTGGCACAGGCCTTCGTTGGAAGCCGAGGCGTTCAGCTCCTGGATCTGGTAGGGCGGCGAGATGAAGTGAGGTAAGGCGAAGACCACCGCGCCGAGGGCGATGAGCAGGCCGCCCACGGCCAGCCACCGCGGCCGCCGGCCGCGGCCCCCGAAGTAGCTGACGAAGACCACCACCACGAGGCTGCCGATGTCGAAGCAGCTGACCAGCAGCCCGGACTCGGAGCTCTTGAGGCTGTAGCGCCTCTCGATGGTGGTGATGACGCTGCTCAGGTACCCGGAGACCATCAGCGACTGGATGAAGGTCAGGAAGCACATGCACACCAGGAAGCAGCGCGAGTCCGTGAGGACCACGTAGAGGCACCTCCTCCCCTGGAGGGTGGCCAGCGGGGGCGACACCGCCCTGTGGGTGCTGCAGTCCACCAGCCCCGCCACCTCCGCCGACGTGGATGTGGATGGGGCGGAGGGGCTGGCCGCCAGCCGGCTCAGGCTCTGTTTCGGCTCTTGGGGGCCCGCAGCATCCGTACAGCCCAGCGGCGTGGCGCCTTCTGCACCTGCAGGGCTGGGGTCCGGCCGGCAGGAGGCGCTGTTCAGGACCGGCAAACTCTTGGACCTAACGGTTTCCGGTGGGTATTTGTGTTGGACAGCTCCTGCCGCGGCCGAGGGGCCTTCCGGCGGCTCCCCCGCCTGGGGCTGCAGCCCCGCGCTGGCCTCCTCCATGAATTCAGATTCGATCCGCTGACTGCATTCAAGGAACTCCCGCGCTTTGCTTTTCATCCACCGGCAGGAGGGCCCGAAGCCGGGCCCACACAGTCACGCCCTCCACCACGGACAGGGGCTGGGAGAGACAGAGCTGCTCGGTGGGACATCCTCACCAGCAGGGAGGTGCCCAGGGCATCCTGAACTCAGAGGCAGAGGCAGCAACCCCGAAGCTTCAGCTTCGCAGCCGCGCGCCCCACAAGGGAGCAGGGGTCCTCGCGGCCCTGCGCTGAGCTCGGCTCCGGGTCCACCTCGGGGAGGCAGCTCGCAGGAGGAGCCTGGCACGTCCTGGGCGCATCCCCTCCGCCTCTGGGCCCGCCTCCCGGAGCGAGAACGCCCACCCGGTGCCCGGCGTGGGGATGCTCAGCGCTGCTGCCGGCGGCGCATCCCGCCCAGCGGGCTGGGCCAGAGGCGTGTGGTCCTCGCTGACACCCTCGGGAGCAAAGATGCCAACCTGTGAAGCAGAGAGAGGGAGGTCAGCAGAGGACGGCTGAGGCTAGGGCAGGCATTTTGCGCCCTGGGGGGGCCCTGGAGGGAGAACTCGGGCTGTCCCAAGCCGGACCGAGGGCTGAGCTAGGAGCAGAGCCTGGAGGCGGCGGCAGCGGCTGCAGGATGCAGGATGCAGCCTCCAGTGCGGGAACAATAAACGGCAGGCGGTTGGCGGAGACCCTCTCTCCTTGTCTGCTGAGGGCCTGCCCCCGCCCCGCCCCTTTTGCCACAAACATCGCATCTGCTTTTTATATGGTAATAAGGATCCACCTGGCAGCTCTGACTCAGAGGCAGTGTCTTTTTATTCGAGTGAACTAATTGCAACCTTTTGGTCCTCCTACTCATCCATTAGCTCAAAATAGAAAATGCCCCGAAAGAACAAAGAAAAGTTTGTGTGCGTGTGTGTGTGTGTGTGTGTGTGTGTGGTGTTTAACAAACAATGCATTCCCAATTTAAAAAAAAAAAGGGGGGGGGGGGGAGTGTGTAGAAATGTGTGCACACACTTGTGTGCAGGCACGTCTGCTCCATCTGTTGGAGACACGCACCCAAAGGCTGAGCAGAAAGGTCAGCGCTCCGGCCTCCGCGCTCCCAGCCCTAAAAATAGCCCCGCGCCAAAGCTCTCCTCAATGCACCCCCTTCCCCCAGGGCGCCTGAGGCCGCGGCCCGCACCACGTCCCAGCGCCCGGCGTCTGGCGAAACCGAAAATCACTTTGCTCTGCGGAGGGGAGGGGAGGGGAGGGGAGGGGAAACCGCAGCCAAACAAAGAGGCGCGGGCCCCGGGAGCAGCCCGGGCACGTGGGGGCCGGCGGAGCGGTGCGCTATGTGCACCCAGCGCGCTCCCCCGGGTGGGCCGGGGGGGACCCGGGGAGGACTGGGGGGGGGGGGGGGGGGCCCGGATGCGCGCGGGCTATGTCTGTGTAGGAGCCCCTCGAACCACCCCGCACCAGGTGGAATTCAGCGAGAGCTGAAAACAGGTGTGACCCCGGGGTGAGCCGAAAACAGGTGTGTTCCGTTCCGTTCCCAGCTCGGGGGCACCAGGTGGGAGAGGACACAGCGCTGCGCTGCGCTGCCCTGGGCTCATGCCGCCGCAGCGCGCTTTGTGATGCTGCTGAGACAAGGCAGGAGGAAGGGGATGGAGAGAGGGAGGGAGCGAGGCGGAGAGGCCGGGCTGCAGGGGCGTCGCTCCGGCGGCGTCTCCCTCGGCGTTGCCCGCCGGACCGGCTCCCCGATTCCCCGCCGCCGGCCGCTCACGGCGCGGACTTCCCCGCCGCCGCCGGCCTGGGAGCCTCCCGGGGAACCCCGCCGGCGCCGCGCGGAGCCGGGGAATCCCGGCGATCACACACACACACACACACACACACACACACACCCTCACCGGGGGCATCCGGGCCCTGCCGGGGGGGGGGGGGGGGGGCACCCACTCCGCCGCGCAGACTCGGGTGGACCGGGAGCTCCTGAGCCGGCGTGGGATCGAGAGACACCCCCGCGCGCGCACACGCACACATGCACACACATACACACGCACACACGCGCCACACACACACACATACACACACACACACACACTCAGCCGGGGGCAGCTCGCCGCGCTGCAGGGGGCACACGCCGCGGCTACTCACTCGCGGTCTGTCGGTCAGTCCGGCTGGCTGGGCACAGAGCGGGTGTGTTGGTCAGTCCGGTTGGCTGGGAGGGGAGCAGGTCTGTCGGTCTGTCGGTCAGTCCGGCTGGCTGGGAGGGGAGCGGGTCTGTCGGTCTGTCGGTCAGTCCGGCTGGCTGCGGAGGGAGCGGCGGGAGACGCGCGCCGGGCCGATACGGGAGCAGCTGGGAGCCGCCTGGGGAGGCAGCATCGGTCCGTCCGGCCGCCCAGAAATCAGTGGAGAAGGCTGTGACTCAGGCTGAACTCTTCCCCCCACGCCTCGCCTGTCACCCAAGCCTCCTCTCTTCCTCCCCAGACAGACAGACACCGGCGCGGAGACGCTCGGAGCCGAGGGCGGAGGGCGGAGGGCGCAGGCGCGCGGCGGCCGGCCCAGCCCGCAGGCGGCGGGCTCCCAGCTGCCTGTCACCTGCATGCGCGGCGGGGCCGGCCAGAACCCTGAGCCTCCTCCGGGGAGGTCTCCCAAAACGCCAGCTGCTGAGGCAGAGAGTCCCTGCTGAATAAAGAAAGCACTCTTCTGTCCGTGGCCACTCACAATGTCTCAGGGGCCATAGCAGGTTCTTGAGACCAAAGATGAACAGAATAGGGGTCCCTCCACAAAGGAAGAACTGCCTTGTGGGCTACCCCTGTAAGGGGCCTAAAACAACGGTCCGTTCTCTCCTAGGTGCCCCTGGAGAGCCCAAGACCCATTAGCCTGTTAGATCTTCATCTCCAGGCAGGAAAGGCGTGGGCGAAAGCACAGGGGCACCGCGCAGCCAGTGTGTCCGTGGATGCTAAGTGTCCCACGGAGACTTCAGGGATGGGGCAGAGGGCTGGAACTTCAGAGGTTGTGTGCTGTTGGCCCAGAAGGGCCAGTGGCATTGTGACTTGCCCCCCAGCAAGCAGGTTCTGGCAGTGGTGGGTAAATGGAGGACATAGTGAGAGCGCTGAGACAAGTTAGGTAGCTGCCTTTCAGCAAAATGTGCTGAGGCATTCATTACAGGGCGTGTTGGGGGGCGGGGGGAGACTGGCTGAAGGTGCACTGAGAAGGTAGAAGTGGCCAGACGTGGAAACTGGAGTCATCTGGCCCATGAGAAAACCGGCCGGTGGAGGGTGTCTCTGGAGTTCCACACTGTGTGACTGGGTGGCTGAGGTCCACTGAACCATGCTCTTAGGAGAAATGTGGCTCTCGCTTCAGAGGGGTTGACTTGGACATGCCTTTGGGACAGCCAAGTCTCCAGGCCCCATGACTCATTTGACATATGCCACACAGGAGGTTTGGGCTGGGGACATGGGTGAGGAATCAACAGCCCCGAGCTGGCCTGAGGAGAGGAAGGAAGATCACGCAGAAGTCAAATAGGCTGACCGCGAAAGAGAGCGAGCAGGAGCTGTAGCAAGCAGGAGGGCCCTGCTGATCTTGGACAGAGAGAGGTTGTGGTGACTACGCTGGCCGTGGCTGCCATACCAGAGCCACGTCACTGGACATTGTCTCCATGTTACAGATGGGAAGAGTGAAGTACGAAAAGATTAAGTATCTTGGGAAAGGTGCACAGCTAATCTGTAGACACTACGAACTCACTTGTCCAAAAATCCATGCTCTTAAACCTGACTCTACGTTCTCTCCCTTTCCATTGTACAGTGGCTTGACTTTCCAAGGCCCCTTATATTTGTTTTTTGTTTTTGTGTGTGTGTGTGTGTGTGTGTGTGTGTGTTTTCACAGAGAGGAAGAGAGGGGGATAGAGAGCGAGAAACATCGATGAGAGAGAATCATCGATCAGCCGCCTCTTGCACACCCCCACTGGGGACGTGCCCACAACCAAGGTACATGCCGTTGACTGGAATTGAACCTGGGACCTTTCAGTCCGAAGGCCAATGCTCCATCCACTGAGCCAAACATGATTCCACTTTGATCTAACAACCACCACATCCGCAGCGGACCCTTAGCGAACATCTCCCGCCCCTATCCCCTCTTCCTGAGATCTCCATCAAGCCCCACATTGCTTTTCCACAAAATGGCAATGTCACTCCAGCAGCCACCCTGCCCAAGTGGCAAGGATTTATGGCCCTTCCTGTACCTGAATACTGATCTGCACTTATTCTGGACTCGAACAGGATCGATCTCTCTCCTATTACATCCTCCCAAGCTCTTTGGTGCAGTCTCTCATTTCAGCCCCAGCCCAGACGTACGGTGGTTCTATAGCAAATTCAATCAGCGGTGGCAGGTGCCAGCAGAGAGGGCTTCTGTGCCCAAAGTCAAATAGCCATGTCCCTGGAACACGCTGTGTTTATTCATGGTGGATTACCATGGTTATGCTAGAAACAACTTTAAGAACCGGAAGATATTTTTTATTGCCACTAATAGAAAGGTCATGATTTTGTAGATAGACTTTAAAAGGCCCGGTTAGCTGCTACCCACATAGGAAATAAGAAGAACACATTTAGCAAGACACGCTTCTTTTGCTTTCTCTTTCCTAGTTACATATGACTTTGGGAAGGCCAAGTGTGTCTCCATCAGCCCGAATCTTTGGATTCGGAGAAGGAAATGGACTCACATGACGGGGTGCTGCTGCCCCTGTGGTTTATGTCACACGATGTCGGAGAGAGTGGCTGGCTAGGGCAGGACACCTGCCTGGTGAGGTGTATTGGGAGAAGAAGAATGTGACTTGGGTATGCTCAGGCTTGGGTATGCTCCTTTTAAGTCATTGGTCAGTCTAAATCCACTTACATGGCTTCTTTCCCAATCTATAATAGCAGGGTAGCCTTAGGAATTGCCTGGGGCATTCTGTGGCCTTAAAGTCCAGCTGCTCTGGGAAATGGGGCAGGGGAGGAAAGGGAGCCTTTTCTCCACCCCCTTCCTTCCTCCTTAAAGAGGTTCACTTCAGAGGTGTCCCACACACACCAGGAGAACCGAGTTTTGGCCCAGAATATTTTCTGGTCTTACAATATGATACACAGCTGCCACTGCTGGTCTTGAATTAGGAATCTATTGTTTGAGAGGAAACAAACCGATATATCTTTAAGGTAGCCTTTTTATAAAGATTGAAATGCAGCTATACTCACAGACTCTGAAGACGTATCCAGATTATTAAACTCTGTGACCTATTTAATCTACACCTCTATTCTTGATTCGGGGAGGTGAGGGGGGGAGAAGAAGTTTATGGGATGCCTGGTTTCAATTTGTATGGGTTTTTTTCCCTTTTTTAAATTAAAGTTAATTTTTATTGACATCTAATTGACACATAACATTGTATGAATTCTAGGTAAACAACAGAATTATATTATCTATGTAGATATTGAGAAATGATCACCGTAGTAAGTGTACTTAACACCCATCACTACACATAGCTACAAATTTTTTTTCTTGTGATGAGAACTTTTAGGAATTCACTTTCAAATATCCAATACAGTACTGTTAGCTATAATAATTGTAAGCTCTTTACAGCACTTGGTATTTCTCACTCAGAAGCGGTGCAGATCTGGCCCTAGGTTGCCGTGAAGACGGTCACGCTGGCCCTGTGGTGTGAGGTCCCTGCAAGGACTGACGGAGGATGCTGACAGACTGACTCAGCTTTAACACCGCACATCACACAACCCAAAAAACCCAACCTACTGAGCCACACTGGCCACGGC